TGTTGGGTTGTCTTCCCAAGGATTTCAGCTGTGTAGCTGTTCATTCCGACTGTAACCGATTGTTATTCGTTTGTAATTATATGTTCTATTTATGATAATATATCATTTGAAAAAGAAGAACTATAAATGATATAAAAATTCATATATTTGAATCTTAACGAGCCAAACTCAAGTTATTTTATTTCAATAATGTGTTGCATTCCTATGGATAATTCCGAATTCGTTCATTTCAAGTTTTTTTATTTTTTTTTTTAATTATTACCATTTAATATCCGAGATGATCCACTTATTTTCAAGCAAGCCGAGTCATGTAACAAGAATCCTTTTCATTTAACAATCTTAATAATATATGATGTTGACTTATATTTAAAAAAAAATAAAAAATAAAATTGACAATAATCAACACGAAAGGGGATGGTGGGACCCGCCATCTCCTTTTTCTTTGTAGCTTCCTATCTTTAAATGATTTGAGCTTTCCAAAATGGGTTGGGAGGGGGGACCATATATTGGGATCAACAATTTGCGAGCACGTATACCATAGGGCCTGGGGACCGCACACCTCTTATTCCTATCTTAACAAACATGTCTTTGTGTGTGCGTAACGTGCATACTATAAACCACAGAATAGTTGTATCAACATTGACCTCACTTTGGTTATTAGAAGGTTATGTTCAAGCTAAATCACTAAATTAGGGGGTCAAATTCGAAAATTATTGAGCGTTTGTTAGAGGTTTGTTAAGTGTTAGAATATCACTTGTGAGTTGTCTTACATCGTTTATACATAGAAAATAGACTCACTTTATAAGTCTAATAGGCTACTCATCATTCCACCAATTGGTTTTGGGTTGAACTCCACTTGAACTTCATATGAGCTTTTTCCCGTTTATGGTGCGCTTCATGTTAGTGGGACCGCTTCATACATAAAAATAGACCCACTTTATAAGTCTGATGATTATTGTTCCCAGAAATGGATGTGGTATCATTCCCGAAAACAATCAGATCATCAACATAGACCAGGACCTGCAGATGGACAGAACCACGATGCAGTGTAAAAAGAGAGTAGTCGTGATAGGTAGGGGTGTTCAAGGTCTGGTTTTAACTGAAAAAAACCGTCAATCCGAACTGCGGATTGGTTAAATGGTCAGTTAAAAACGCCTTAGAAAATTCGGTGGTTAATTTTTATAAAAATCCAGAATAACCGGTCCGGTTAAATCCGTTAACCGGACCGGACCGGTAAATATTAAAAAACTATAATATATATATATATATATATATATATATATATACATTCAGTCATTCACTATGGCCGATAAATGCAATACATTCACTATGAATGCTTTGTTCTTATTATTTCAGGTGTATAAACTGACTGAAAAATGAATACTTGTTCAGATTGCATAATTTAATCTTCATCATTTTTGTATTTTTATGTTTATAGGACGAAATGTGTATTTTTATGCTTATCGGACGAATTGTGTATTTTTTATTTCATTATTGTTGTTTTTCTTAATTTTTAGGCCCAAATAATCTCTTTTGGGCCCAAAATTGAAAAATAAAAACTAAGCCCAAAATGAAAAAAATAAAAATTGAAGGCCCAAAACAAGAATTTTGGAATTAATCGGTTAACCGCCAAACAGGACCGTCCAATGCGGTCCGGATTGTGGTCGGTTAAAAAATAAAACCAAGAAAAAAAATTAATCGTTATGTCCAATTTGGTCATGGTTTGGGCTAAAACCGGACCAATTCGGACCGTGAACACCCCTAATGATAGGACTGACAAAAGCCATACTGCTTCAAAGCCATAGACAACTTGGCAAACCAGCAGCGGGGAGCATGCTTCATGCAGTAGAGGGAACGACGAAGACGACAAACCTGCCCATCAATGCCAGAGCAAAAATCAGGGTGAACCAAAGTCATGGCCAAGGAAACCCCAAATACCATCACCAGCTGCACGCACAAGGTTTCATTAGTCCAATCTCTTAGTTATTTCATTAATAGAATGTCATTATAGTTTGGTAATTAATCTAGTTGAAAATTATATGATAATTTATAAACAAAATTTAAGCTTACAATTGATAGTTTATAGGTGATGATTGAAAATTTAACTAATATATTATTTCGTAATATTAGGTAATATGTGATAGGTAGGGGTGTTCAAGGTCTGGTTTTAACTGAAAAAAAAAACCGTCAATCCGAACCGCGAATCGGTTAAATGGTCAGTTAAAAACGCCTTAGAAAATCCGGTGGTTAATTTTTAACAAAATCCGGAATAACCGGTCCGGTTAAATCCGTTAACCGGACCGGACCGGTAAATATTAAAAAACTATAATAAATATATATATATATATATATATATATATATTTATTCAGTCATTCACTATGACCGATAAATGCAATACATTCACTATGAATGTTTTGTTCTTATTATTTCAGGTGTATAAACTGACTGAAAAATGAATGCTTGTTCAGTTTGCATAATTTAATCTTCGTCATCTTTGTACTTTTATGTTTATAGGACGAAATGTGTATTTTTATGCTTATCGGACGAATTGTGTATTTTTTATTTCGTTATTGTTGTTTTTCTTATTTTTTAGGCCCAAATAATCTCTTTTGGGCCCAAAATTGAAAAATAAAAACTAAGCCCAAAATGAAAAAAATAAAATTGAAGGCCCAGAACAAGGATTTTGGATTTAACCGGTTAACCGCCAAACCGGACCGTCCAATGCGGTCCGGATTGTGGTCGGTTAAAAAATAAAACCGGTCCGGTTATGGACAAGAAAAAAAATTAATCGTTAGGTCCAGTTTGGTCATGGTTTGGGCTAAAATCGGATCAATTCGGACTGTGAACACCCCTAATGATAGGACTGACAAAAGCCATACTGCTTCAAAGCCATAGACAACTTGGCAAACCAGCAGCGGGGAGCATGCTTCAAGCAGTAGAGGGAACGACGAAGACGACAAACCTGCCCATCAACGCAAGAGCAAAAACCAGGGTGAACCAAAGTCATGGCCAAGGAAACCCCAAATACCATCACCAGTTGCACGCACAAGGTTTCATTAGTCCAATCTCTTAGTTATTTCATTAATAGAATGTCATTATAGTTTGGTATATAATCTAGATGAAAATTATATGATAATTTATAAACAAAATTTAAGCTTACAATTTATAGTTTATAGGTGATGATTGAAAAATTAACTGATATATTATTTCGTAATATTAGGTAATATGTGAGCTCAAAACAAAATTTTAGTTTTTTAAATAGAGAAGTTTATTAGATAAGTTATAGCTTTTGTAAAAAAAAAAAAGTTATAGCTTTTGTAAAAATTTAGCACGTCGGCCCCCTTCACCACATACGACAGCGTCTGACACGAATCTCGTTATTGTTTCGATGACTTCAGTTCCACTTTCTCCATCGTCAATGAAGTCCACCTCGACCGTTGATATTGATGTCTGCCACCACTGCCGGTCCCTGATACTGCTACACGTGCACCAACTCCTCTTTCTTCTACGTTGGTGGTCACCACAATCTTTCCTCCAACCTCAGCATCGGCTAAGGGGGAGACATTAGGCGTTCAATTTTCCATGAGAGAAGCTACAAAAATCTTTGGCCCGTCAGAGAAGGTTGGTGAGGACGATGATACTGTGACAAAATCATCCTCCTCTGAATCTCCTCTTGTTGCAGATAAGACAGATGTTCTGACCCTTGTAGAGTTCAACTCTGATGATGACACTAAGCCCGTAGCACAACAGCAGGTTGTTCATCGATGGATTCGTTGTAAGGGAAAAGAGAAGGTTAACGATAATGTGCCTAATAATGACACATATGACTTCATACTGGCTTACTCTAATCAATTCTATTCTAAGTCTGCTTTTGGTTGTTTTCAGGGGTTTAATGCAC